GTCGCAGCTCTGAGTGCAGTGGAAGGCATAGATTCTCCTGCTCTCTGAAATAACTGCTGTTTTTTTATTTCACCCTTAAAATATTTAACTCTATATCCAGGTTACTACTAATAATACTGTACGCCGTGTGTGTAGTTAATAAAACGACTTAAGTTTATGACTTGAGCGTATCATCGTATCGTAGATTAAATTTATAATCCATTACAAATCAGTCAGTCCCATCTTTCGTATTTGTTTATGGCCTCATGATGGTGAGCAGAACAAAGACCCTGGACTGGTTTGTTCTTCCTTTGACCTGAAATTGCTCAGCTGATGGAGGAGAATGAGCCTTTGTTGCTGTTTTATGTGAGGCTGAGATAAAACGCCCGATAATGACAAAAACCAAATGAAGTCACAGTCATTTTTGAGATCAGAAGACTTTGAAGTTTTTTATTTTTTTTTCCCCTACAGGTTGAAAAAACAGTCATAAGAATCAGAACTGTTCTGTTCTGGACACTTTAAATCATATGGAAATCTCTGTCTGGAATATTTGCTTGGCCGCAAATTTGAAGTTGACGAACAAAACTTTGGTGGAAAACCTGTATTTGTATTTGTCCAGTCTGAACTGATTACGCCTGGTCGCTAACAAAAACTAGCTCACCCTCTTCTTCTTCTTCAAGAGGAAATCTGAGGTTCTGTATTGCTACAGTAAGAGCGCCCTCTGCTGGACTACCTGTTTTTTCTAGCGAGGAAAGTCATTATATTTTTTTAGAAATATTATGCATTTGACATTTACGACTTCCCTCTGCTGGACTACCTATTCTTTCCAGCGAGGAAAGTCATTATATTTTTTTTAGAAATATTATACATTTGACATTTACGACTAAAATACATTTTAGATCATCATTGAAAATCAATTTAGGCTATTTTTATGCTAAAATGAACCAAAAGTGATTAAAATAAATTTTAGATCATCATTGAAAATCAGTTTAGGCCATTGTTTATGCTAAAATGAACCAAAAGTGATTGTAATATAGATTGTTCCAAATGTATTAGATTTCTTCCTACATTCTAGGCCTCAGTGTAACCCTGTTCACTGTGGCGTCGTCTCCACTGCTAATTCTGACATTCATGGTGTGAAGCCCCTCAGCTGCTTTGATGCTGCGATTATCCGATTAGCCTGTCCTTGTTCACTGTCTCTTATTGATCAGTTTCTATTCCTGATAGGTCAATGGGACATGAAGGAGGTCAAGTTGATGGGGGAATGACCTGTCAGTGCCCTCCAGTGGAAGATATTTTGATCAAGTTAATCAAGATTTCAATGGATACAGTTGTTTTTTTAAAGGAATAATCATTATTTACATTTAGACTTCACTGTGGAGACAGCAGCATCAGAGCTACAGTTTTTTATTTTTTTACCAACTCTATTTTGCCAGGTTTTTCAGTCAGAGTACTGTTGTTGAAAGTACTGTATTAGAGTAAAAGGTCATTCAAATCCATGTCCGAGTCTTCAGTCTGGCCTGTTAATAATAATAAATAAAAATAATTTGGCCCCACACTGGGGATAGTTTTGTGTTAAGAGCAGATCTTATGCAACAGGCTGCCCCTTGGGGGCGCCAAGTTGCTCCAAGTATCCTCTGGGAATCAAACCCAGCACTCTCTGCCTGTAAGGCATGTGTGCTAACAGCTATTCAACTGCTAAGGAGCCGGTTCATGTTGCATTACATTTGTGTTGATATTTTGAGCACAGGCAGCATAATCTAACCTGCCTCCTATTGGTTGGATTTCTAGGACTACGTCTTTGTTAATCTCAATTTTAATCCTTCTCCTCATTGGTTATCGTAATGTTCAATGTTACACTGACAATATATATAATGATTGAACAGAACAGAGCGATTAAACGTACTACCTTAGCGATGCTAAATAATAAACCTAAGCAGCGCCTCTGTTACTTTTCATCAAGCAGCAGCGTTAACATGTCAGAGCCACACCGTGATGTGCCTGGATCCTAGTTTTATACCCAGTCCACGTGTGTTTCACAGCAACACAGTGAGAAAATGTTCCTTCAGCACGTTCTCGGCACCTATCTCCGTTAAAACATGTTACAACATGACGTTCTCCGTGGCACTTTTAAAGTAAAAGCAGTTTTCTGTTCCATTTCCCTTCCATTTCTCTTCTTTTTTTTCCAAAGAAGCTTTTATTTTAAAATATTTAAAGGACTGGCAGATGCACGCTGTGCTGTCCTGGCATTTATCTGAGTACACAGGCATATTTAAAGTCTATTATTTATGACAATTTGTGCAGGAAAATCCTATGAAATATACAGCAGTGGGTCCACAGCAGAAACTGATGCAGAGTCCATCTGAAGACCTGATGTGTTTATGACACAGACAGCAGGTTAAAATAGAACTTTGTCTGTCTGTTTTTTTTTTTTAACAACAGAATA